ACTATTCACTTGGGTAAAATGAAAATAGATTTTCAATAAAGTGGATATCTGCAAAATATATGCAATATTAGTAAAATATTTAGGAGGGCTTACATTTTTTTGTTTTTTCTTTGTAGGATTTAGAACGGCTAACATATATAAAGCCAAATGAATCTTAGTTTAAAAGGATAATGAAACTAAAAGTAAGTTTTTATAACCAAAAAATAAACTAAATGAAAATAAGAATAAGTTTAAAAAAAAAACACTAAGAAGACAAGTTTTAAATGACCTAAAAATAAGAAAATCAATATTAAAATAGGCCTTAAAGCAGAGCAACGGCCCATACGAATTTGACTTAGGATTATAAAGATGCGGCCTAGTTTATGTTTGTTCACATTGCAACTCTTTTGACAAAGCTAGAAGCTGTTAAAATTAGAAGGACTAAAGTTGTAATAAAAGTAAAGTTGAGTAGTTGTCGATCTCAACTTTAAGATAATTTCACCCGCCTCCATTGTTACCGGAATCTCTCTCTCTCTCTCTCTCTCTTTCTCTCCGCCGAACCTCTTCGATTCAAGTTTCCGTTTATCACTCTAGTAGTGTTTAAGGTTCCATTGATACCTCGTAAGTTCACTGGGTTTTCTTTAAGCCTAATCTAAGCTTTTGGACTATATTTCTTGCTTTTTCATTGGCAATTCTAGGGTTCCTCGCTGGGTCTATGTGTTAATTTAGGGTTTTCATTAGTCGGAAGACGAAATTTTCGTGTTTCCGAGTACTCTTGTTTCAATATGCTTATATTTTTTATTTGCTACTGCCTCTAGTTTTATCATAAGCAAGTTTTTATACATCTCTAGGGGTGCTATCTTCTGCAGAATAAGCTTAGCTTTGGCTAAGTTGATACCTTTTATATGAAGCAGCTCTTAGATGACCTAGAATTAATGTTAGATTTTGAATTAGCATATTGTTGGCGAATCTGTTACTTCTAAAGATGCTAGTGATGCAATGTTTTAGTTCTAGGCGTTATTTTTTCTTTCTAACACTTCTGTAGATATTTCTCCAACAAGTTATTGTATGTTTAGGAGGAAGTGAAATCTTCAATGAAACTTTAACTGTTTGTATATGTATAACGGGACTAATGTGTGTGTATCTGGACTCTGATTTTATGTTAGCGCTCTAGTCATGGCTGAAGCTGAAGATGAGCAAAATTTTGTTGCACACAATGGAGATCAGGTACCAGCTCAGGGGTTAGATGAGGTGCATAATGGGTTACCGTACCAGGTTCACCAACCATACGAGGTATCAGATCCGATTCTTGAACCTCAGCAGTACGAGGTACCAGATCAGACTCTTGAACCTCAGCAGTACGAGCTACCAGATCAGACTCTTGAACCTCAGCAGTACGAGGTTCAGGATCAATTAGAGTATCAACAATACCAGTTGCAGGACCAGACTCATGAAGATGTCCAAGATCAGCCGCAAGATGACCTAAAATATCAGCCACAAGATCAGGAGCCGTATCAGTTACAAGACGAGGCTCATGATCAGGCCCAGTATCAGGCAGAAGGTGAGGCACAAGATCACAATGGTGATGATGTGCAAGATAAAGTAGAAGATGAGGAAGGAATTTCTGAGTCTCTACAGAAATCAGAGTCTGAAGAAGGTGCAACAGTTGGAGGTGAGGAGAAGAGGTGGCCGGGATGGCCCGGAGAGACGGTCTTCCGCATGCTGGTTCCTGCACAGAAAGTGGGTAGTATCATTGGTCGCAAAGGTGATGTCATTAAGAAAATAGTTGAGGAGACAAGGGCTCGAATAAAGATTCTCGATGGTCCTCCAGGCACAACCGAAAGAGCTGTAAGTCTCTTAATCTTTTTTTCCCTGCCTTTACATTTCATGTTATATGAGTTGCAGCTATGAGTCAAATAATGCTCTTGAACCAAAACTATAATCCTAATTATAAGAAAATTAATATAGTAGAATATATACACTTTTTGGCTGTATAAGTCACTGATCTAAAGTTTTCAGGCTCTAGCTTTTGTTAAAACATGTAAAAGGCCATGGAATTTTAGTTAAAAGGCAACCTTTTTGCATAGTTATCCCTAGACCTTAATAAATGTATAAGTAAACAGATAGGAAACTGCACACCCCTTCAACTCAAAGAAGTTATGAACAGAGTCATGTCAGAAAAGTGTTTTAGTGTGGCTGAGTGATATGATCCTGAGCTGCTAATAAAGTGTTGAAGAATGTAGGCATCAAGCGAAACTACCTATGTTAGTAAATTAAACCTATATAGAGTATAGTAACCAGCAGCCCTGCTTATCATTTCCTTCAAGTGAAAGGAGGAAGTTAATCGACGAAGTTGATAAGATGTGAGTAGGGTTCCCCTTTATTGCTGTGACCACCATGAATCTGTGCAGGTTTTATCTTGCAAGTTTTATGGCAACAAATCAATCAACGGTAAGGTCTCAAATATGAAGAACCAAAGCCAGATGGCAAGGATTCAGCCTTGAGCACTACAAAGTACTGATAAGTTTATCTAATAGGCAAGATTCTTCTTGTATAAACCTCAGTGCCATGAAGCTCTGCATTCTTTCTGGTAACTTCAGTACCTGGATGATTGATGTCTTGCTGCAGACTTGCTGCAGACTTTCTGCAGCATGCAAGGACCTGCTTAACCGGATGTAACAGTATGTGGACGATGAGATTATGGTTTAGGCAACAATTAAGTAAAGAGAAATTTTAAGATTGCATGAAAAATCTTCTATGAAGAGTTTTTTTGAGTCTAGAAGATTGGTAATGGCTGCTATGGCATCTTAAAAGGCGATTACCTAATCACCATGGGTAAAAACTTTAAATGAAGATCATAACAGGAAATAAACATCTAACTGGTCAAAGTGCATTTAAGTCTGTACCTCTTTGGAATTTTCTTTACGACTTGAGAAATATGGCACCAAAATAATAATTGGTATAGAAACTAAGATCGCTGTTTGTGAAATGTTTTAGTTGTTTGGTAATGTCTTGTTTCGTCTTTGTTGGCAGGTTATGGTTTCTGGTAAAGAAGAGCCCGAATCATCTCTACCACCTTCTATGGATGGCCTTCTTAGAGTGCACATGCGGATAGTTGATGGTTTGGATGGTGAACCTTCTCAAGCCCCTCCAGCTTCAAAGGTGTCAACAAGATTACTAGTCCCAGCATCTCAGGCTGGAAGTTTGATTGGAAAACAGGGAGGAACAGTTAAAGCTATTCAAGAAGCATCCGCTTGTATAGTCAGAGTTCTTGGATCAGGTTCCTTCTCTTCACAATTTACATGCTGAAAAAATTCTTCCTTGCTTTGTGTTTTTGGTTTCAGTTGTGCTATGGACTATTTCCTATTATTCCCATATTTGTAGCGATAGAGGCCACGGGTAATTTTGTATCTTATCTTCATGTGCAAATTTTGCTTGAACCATACTCAACATCAACTTTTCAGATTGGCTTATATTCTGAATAATCTCAACTTTCGTTTTGGTGTGTGTTTCGTTTATTCCTTATCCATTGGGAGTTCTAACTGAAAATTTTTATGGAGGATTTTTTTAGAGGATTTGCCTGTATTTGCTCTTCAAGACGATAGAGTTGTTGAAGTTGTGGGGGAACCAACAAGTGTTCATAAAGCCTTGGAGCTGATTGCATCACATCTAAGAAAGTTCTTGGTTGATCGTAGCATCATCCCATTCTTTGAAAATCAGGTTATCTTTTGTTCCTTTTGATCTTTGGCAATGTTTTTTATTTATCTCTCTATAAAATTTTTTCTTTACTCTGCGTTTTAAACAGATGCAAAAGCCAACTCGCCAAATGGATCATATGCCAGCACCACATCAGGCATGGGGTCCTCCTCAAGGTCATGCCCCAAGTGTTGGTGGAGGAGGCTATGGTCACAACCCACCTCCATATATGCAACCACCTCCTAGACATGATAGTTACTATCCTCCTCCTGAGATGCGTCAACCTCCAATGGAGAAACAGCCTCATCAAGGTATATCTGCATATGGTAGAGAGCCTCCTATGAATGTGCACGTATCATCAGCCCCACCAATGGTCGCTCAGGTATTCCGCCAATCTCTGCAGCATGTTCTGTTAGTCAATTTTTAGAAGTTAACTGTTCAATCTACTGCAATTTATGTATGTAAGTATATCACATGAAAATCTGAGTGGTGTGGGGATTTGTTTGTTTTTGCAGCAAGTTACGCAGCAAATGCAGATTCCACTTTCTTATGCTGATGCTGTAATTGGGACATCAGGTTCAAACATAAGCTACACTAGACGTCTTAGTGGAGCAACAGTAACTATTCAGGAGACGAGGGGAGTACCTGGTGAAATGACTGTTGAGGTTAGCGGAACTGGCTCACAAGTCCAAACTGCTATGCAGCTTATTCAGGTACCCCTATATTCTCTCACACCAGATTTCTTAACCAAAGTGTCCTTTAAAACCGCAAAAAGGAGACAGAAGCTGGTGTTTTTTGATGATGAAATCTGACTGTTGATTGTGTTTTATGACAGAACTTCATGGCTGAAGCTGGAGCGCCAGCACCAGCACAACCTCAAACTGTAGCACCCGAGCAGCAAGGCTATAACCCATACGCAACACACGGCTCAGTCTACGCAGCGGCTCCAACAAACCCGCCTGGAGGATACGCTACGGATTACAGCTCAGGCTACGGTTACTGATGAAAGATTTAAAGTTTCTTTAGAATGTTTTACTAGTAGTTGCAAGCAAGAGTGAAAAACGCTAGATGCCTAATCGAGTATATGTTGTTATTAGCGAGCGCCCTGTGTACTGAGAATCAATTATTATTATATCAGTTGTTTTGAGACTTCTTCATTTGTGTACTGTTCAAAACATTAGTCTACCCGGAAATTTTCTTTATATCAAAAATATGTTAAATCATGTCCTTTTGTTTTAAGAGATTTTTTTTGTTTTCTCTTAAAGAGAGTTCTGTCATCTTAATCGCATATTCATACGATGTAATCTCATTTGATATGGTAGTAAAATTAAGAGAGCAGAAAAAGAGAAGAACAGAAAACTGAGTTACACAAATGTTGACGTTGGGTGAAGTCAACTAATCAAACAATTTTAGAAAACTAAAATATCTAACTTGTCTAGATATGGTAGAAGCGTGAATCTGCTTCTCCCTTCTCTCCTAGAAATCCTTTTCACTTTTAGATTTTGGTAAGTTTGCTTGATCCAGATTCTTCATAACTCGGGTCACACTCTACATTAGATCTTCAGATTCATTTTTGAGACTTCACGTAGTGTGTTTGGTTGCAGAAGCATGGACTGGAGATTGCTTAAAGCTGCGGCTAAAGGGGACAATAATCTCCTTGATCTTACCACATTTCACCAATCAGAATTGGACAAGAGAACACCACATAACAACAACGTTCTTCATATTGCAGCTAAACATCAGAGGTTGGATTTCGCCGCAGCCATACTTAATCTCTCCCCATCGCTCCTCCTTACAGAGAACAACAATGGAGACACACCTCTACACGTGGTAGCTAGTGTTGGTTCCCTTGAAGTTTCGAAACTTTTTGTCAGTTCAGCCAATCAAGTAACTTCAGATGTCGAAAACCGGGGATTAACCGACACACGGAAACAACTATTGAGGAGTACTAACAAGCAAAATGATACAGCCTTAAATGTTGCATTAAAGAATGGACATGTTCATGTAGCTAAGTTCTTTGTTGAAGAAGACACAGGATTGCTAATGCTAGATATGGCCAATAGCAACTTAGTATCTCCTTTGTACTTAGCTATTGAAAGAGGGCTTTTCGACATTGCTAATAATATTCTGGATATATCTCCTCTGGTTTCCTGTAAAGGGCCTAAAGGTATGAATGCTCTGCACGCCGCTGTGGACTCCGACATTGTCAGCACCGGTAATCGTTTATCTCTCTTTTAAAAATTAATTTCCAACTCAAAACTTAATTGGTAATGAGTGGATTGGTCATATGTGTTGTATGTTACTCTAAGTTGCATCTCACTTTTCGAGGTTGGATTCCTAGATCCTAACATGTAGAATTTCTTGATTTGGTCAGGTTTCTTGAGAAAATTGACGGAGAAAAGGCCAGAAATGATCAAAGAAGTTGATGTTATCGGATGGACACCTCTTCATTATTCGCTATGGCTAGGGAAAACCAAGATAACTCAACTCTTTCTTCAACAAGATAGCTCGGCTGCTTATATATCTGATAAGGAAGGACAATGTCCGCTTCATCTTGCGGCGTCTACTGGTCAAGTTGATGCATATAGAGAGCTTGTTCGTAGCTGCCCTTATGTTTGGGAACTAGTTGATGGTAAAGGCAGAACATCTCTTCACTCTGCAGTCATATCAGGACAAAGAGGAATCATTCACTGTATTCTAGAGATGCCTGAGATTTCTCTTTATCTGTTGAACGCAAGCGATGCAGATGGAAACACACCTTTCCATCTATCGGTTAGTCACAAATGTTACTCCATATTGCTGCTTCTTTTACGCAACAAGCGGGTGGATAAACATGTTATGAACCATAATCACTTCACAGCTGCAGAACTCTTTTACTCTCAGAAGCAAGAGGTACAAAAACTAGTTTAGTCAAGTGATGATGTTCTTAGATCAAGCTTTGGTTTGTTCATAGCACATAAAAACCTCCTAATTGATGTATGAACATAGAATCTAGCTACGTCTGTCTCTGTTAGGAGTTGCGCCCAAAACAAGCTGAAGTAGTACTCACCACAACACTAGCTTACTAATGAAGATGCTCGTAGATTTTTAAGTATTGGTGTTTTCTACTCTTAACAGATGTGTCTTAATTTTGGTGTTTCCAGATTAGTTTCAAGGTCGCGATAACATACTATGCACTGCAAAGGTACTACAAACAACCGTCTCAGCAACAGAACATAGAGACAAAGAAGAAGCACAAAAAGGCAGATCTTGAAGTAAGCAGTGCAAGAAATGATGGTGCAATGTACGAGGTTCATCTTCTAGTCGCGGTTCTTGTCGCAACCGTAGCTTTTGCTGCAGCATTTCAGTTACCTGGCGGTTACAAACCTGATGGTACACCTGCATTGATGGACGAACCAGCTTTCAAATGTTTCTTGGTGTTCGACACAATCGCCTTCTGCTTCTCTGTAACCACAGTCTATTTCTTGTTCTACGCTTCGAGAGACGGGTATCGCGCCCGCTCTGCTTTCCTCTACATGTCTGCTCTGTTAATGGTTGTGTCGCTGATCGCAATGGCGTCTGCGTTTGTGTCAGGGATGTATCTGATTTCGGCCAAGTCGAGAGGATTAGCCATCATACCTTTCTTAATGGCTGGTTTCTTCGTCTTGCATGGTTTCATATACTGGTTCATCGACCCACGAGGCAGCTACGTCCTTGGTCTCGAACGACCTCGCCGGTTTTTAAGGAAATTAGTCTATGGTAACTCATTGTTTCATAATTTGGTACATGAATGAGTTTCTGTGTGGGAATTGTTATATGAATCAAAATATAATCACATAAATACTTTGTAAATTTTCTTTTTAATCAAACCTAAATAAAATACATTCCAAATGGGAAATAAAATGTGATATCAGGAATAAATAGAGAAAGAGTTTATGCGTAACTGCTCGAGCTGAGCATATAAAATAAGCAAGGAAAGGATTCAACAAACAGGCAATGTAATGTTGTTCTCTAGGTATTTGTTTCCTTCTATTGCCTGAAATCTTGCAATTGATCAAGAAAGATCGAATTTTAATAGTACACTGAACAGTTTACACCTGCGGTTTTTGCTTCTTCTCACTCGAGTCCGCGGTATTGTTCCTGTCAGAGAATTCCACACACAAATCAGATCTGTGAATACAATGAGGTACTACTAACATTATCCTAAAACAGCCAAGACACTTACTGGTAAAACATACAGAGAGCATGCTGTCATTGCAAATCATATTGGTGCAGCACAAGTGGTTCTGAAATGTCCAGTCTGGTTACACCTGCTACAATGCACAACCCGTTTCACTCGTCCTCTATCTTCAGCTCGAACCCGTCTTTTCCTCGGCCTACCAGGCGGTCTCAGAGACTTTGGAGGGTTTATAATAGCATCAAGAGCAGCTTTGTTCACGTTTGGATCTCCTTCAGAAAGCTCTCTCCAAAGACTTTTATCTGGAATCGGATGAATCGTCTGAGAATAAGTCTTCCTATAAGTAGCCACAGTAAAACAGCTCTCAGTGAACCTATGAACATTTTGTCTACAAGAAAGAAGAGCCGCCACGGCGTGTGCACAAGGTAAACCATATAACTGCCAACCCCGACAGAGACAACACCGGTTCCTGATATCCACTATGTTGTTTCCTTCATGAGAAATAACTTCAAACTCTGCTTCATTGGCTCGAAGCACCTGATAGGTTCTTGCAAGCTCAAGAGCCTCGGCTACACGCCGCTCAGCAGTTGGGACGAGTATCGAAGTCCATTGCATACTGGTTTCACGTCGTTCGTTGAACCAAGTCATTAGTTGTCTCCTAATGCATTCCATCATCTGAATTATTGGAAGTCCAGATGCTTCAGTGATCCATGAATTCAGGGATTCGACTATATTTGCGGTTAAATGTCCAAACCGTTGTCCTTCAAAATAAGCGGTAGCCCATAACCGATGAGGGATTCGCCGAATCCAGTAAGCTGCATCTTGAGAAATCTCTTCAATTTCGAGTATTTTGGCTTCAAACTCAATTACTGTTAGAGATTGAGCAGCTTCCCACAGATAATTGACTAACATTGTGTTGTTAAACTCCTTGCGGAAGCTTTCGCTCAAATGTCGCATACAAAAACCGTGAAATGCAGTTGGGAAATTCTGTTCCACACCTTCCACTATTCCCTTTTGTCTATCCGACAAAATCGTGAGTCTTGGCATATTCTCGGTATTGGTTTCAAGAAGATTATGAAGCTCGCACAAAAACCACATCCAATTCTCGTCATTCTCTTCATCTACAATCCCAAACGCCAACGGAAACAAAGCACCATCTCCATCGAATCCAGTAGCGAGAAGCAAAGTACCCAAATACTTGCTCTTCAAATATGTCCTGTCCAATCCAAGAAGCGGTCGACAAGCATTTAGAAACCCATAAATTGAAGCTTGAAACGATATGAAGAGACGCTGGAAGCAATTATCAGCTGGACTTCCATAAACCGAAGCAATGCTTCCCGGGTTCGTCCTTTTAACCTGCTCGCAATATTGCGGAAGTAACCGATACCCTTCTTCAAAAGATCCGCGCATAGTTGCCATGATTCTTTCTTTACCACGCCAAGCTTGTTTGTACGATAAGGTGATTCCGTGAACCCGGTGTATCTCTTCAAGAATCTCTTTAGGTTTACAATTCGGATTCTCTCGAAGCCGTTGCTCAACCGAGCTAGCAACCCATTGAACTGAAGCTTGTTGATGACCCAAATGATTTATTCCTCCACAGCTATGGCTTTCATGGATCGTTCTGATTGTGAAAGTTGGAACCCCGGGGAGCTTTGCAGCGTGAACTCTCCATGGACATCCATCACTCGAACACTTAGCTGTGAAACGAGTTTTGTCAGATTTTATTGTCTGCATTTCGAAATGAAGAGCAATCGCCATATCTCTCAGTGCTCTACGACAACTCTTTACATCTGGAAACTCTTGCCCAACCGTAAGTTGGTAAGTCATGTCAGCAGTAAGAGCTCGGGCTTGAACCGGAGTGCTAACCATTACCATATCACCATGTTGGTCAATTTCAAGTTCATGACTTGAGTCAACGGCTAATTCCAGATTGTCGTCTAGTTCATGGTTTTCCCCAACCACCAACTGATTATTATTATCTGACAATGAAAAGTCATGGTTATGCGAGGAAAGAACCAGATCGGGATCAACATCGTCGTGTCCAGGCTTTTGATCCACCGAGATTTCATTCTCATTCATATAGTCGTGATGATGATGATGATCCTCTCCATCCTGATCTTCACTATTTCCTAAGCCTAGCTCATGATCATCATTGGGATTCCCTAAATCAATATCATGATCATGCCCTAAATCCATATTGTGACCTTGGCCTAGGTCCACATCAACATGGTTTTGACCAAGCCCTAGACTGTTGTGGCTGTGGCCAAGCACCAAAGATTGACCCTGCCCAATACCGATATTACGATTTTGTCCAAGCATCAAATCGCGATTGGCCATTGCTGAAACAATCTTCTTAATACAAACTACAACAAGAAGACGCTTCTTCAAAAACAAGACAAACACTACAACACTAATTCTCTCACTTTATCAGTACCTGCATCAAGCAAACGCGATAATAAGATGGAATAGTCCAACACAAAAACACAATCAAGAATACATTCCAACTCAAAAAGACAAAGAGTGATACAAATGAAGTAACAAAGATCCAGAGATAACTAAATATATTGATAAGTGAAAGTGTCTCGTGACCTCTAATTATCATTCCAATATTGAAACTCCAAGATTGAGACCAAAACATGAGAGCGATAACAATATATACTGTTATTATAAAGTAAGAATTAGCGCGAGATACGAATAATACTTACAGAAATAGAAGGAGTACAATCATCTAGCTTAATCAATTGCATCCTCAATTTCACTGGACAGTAACTTACTCTTTGAGAGAAGACGGATATTTGGGTAGATGGAGCTACAAAAGCAGAGTAAAAAGGACAAACGTGAGTGAACAAAATCTGATAGAGACGAGTAAATTAAGGAAAGTGACGACTTTTTCGCGCTGTCCAAATCTGAAATCGACACTATCAGATTAACACTAAAAAAACAAATTCGAAGCAGAACAAAAAAAAACAAGTACAACGAATGAAGAACACACAATAGGAGGAGAAGAAATACAAATAAAAATCGAAACTTTTTTAACTTGAGATCGAGAAAACTCACTTGAATCAAATTCTTTTGGCTCGAAAACTGAAGAAGACCCAAGCAGCGATCCAGAAAATTAGAAATCTAGGGTTTGGAGAAGGAAATGGGAAATGGAAATTGGGGAAGGAGCCGTTAGTGAAGGGGGAGGTGATTTTGGCGGGTAAAAAGAAAAAAAGGGAAGGAGGAGAGAATCGGGAAGAAGAATTTGGGGAAGGGGCAAAGATGGAGGAGGAAGGAGAGAAGGGTTTGATTGGGAATTTACAGAAGGGGCAGAAGAGGGAGATATTAGGTTTCCTTCAGGCCGATGATTGCTTTTTCACACGTTGCCTTCTTCCTCTCTGAGGCCATTTATGTCTTTTTCTCTCTTTTTTTGCTTCACTCTACCCTTCGGATTCACTACTATTTACGCCCTTGCCCTCATTCATTTCTTTTGAGTCCAATTGTGAAAGCAAAGAAAGGCCCAACTCAACTTATAGAGAGACACTACTAATCATTGATTTTGGATTTCAATTTCAAAATTAACTATACTATTATTATTTACCCACTAAAAATTACTAATTGCATTTACTTTTGTTAGATATATAGACATAAATGAACAAAAAAAAATGTATAAATTCTGACGAGTTAAGTATTTTTTTGTTATAAAAATATTAATTCATAATTTTGTAGTTTTGCTTTATAAAATTAACAATGCAAATCATTTTAGAATCTGATTTATATAAATAAAAATGTAAAATAAGAAAAATGTAAGCCTTGTTTTAAAAATCGCTAGGCGCTAGTCGGGCGTTCGGCATGGACCTAGCGATTAATCGGAAAATCGGATTAAAATCGAAGATTAATCGGGGATTAGTTTTAGGGTTATTTTAATATTTTTAAAACATATTAATCTAATATTATTTTCAAAATTGCAGTAAACACATAAAAATGTATTTTTTGAGACAAATTTTTATGATTTTTATTTCAAATTTATGATTTTTATTAAAATTTGAACATAAGTTATTGTAAAACATTACAAACTCCCTAATTCAAATGATTGAATAACAAAAATAAAAAGTTTTTTTATACTAGCAATCTAAAAATAATCGTGGTATGTAAGATTAGGCGGGGAATAATCAGATTAGGCGGGAAGTAATCGGATTAGGCGGAGAGTAATCGGGTGACTGATTTCTTTAAGGGATTAGTCATTAATTGAGGCGGATAGGGTGGGCCTAGCGATTAAGCGGGGAGTAATCGGGTCTAGGCGGGGATTTTTAGAACATGGAATTTAAGTAGCACAAATATGGTTCAATTTCAAGGATCAATTCATCCTAATCCAAATTAACAAGAGTGATGTGAAGTTTGCGGAGCAGCTAAAAAAGGGTTTCTGACTTCTTCTATTCGAACATGCTTGGGAGAGGTCTCACCGCCATGAACGCATCAACCATCTGGAAACAAACATTGTAGTACTAATGATATTGAATCTTAATAGTTGAACACCAACCAATTTAGCACATCTTTTTACCTCATCAGTAACAGCAGCTCGAGCCCTGCGGTGTCTCTCCACCATTTCTGTCAACACTTCCGTAAGTCTCTTCTTTACTTCTCCTGTTAGCATTCTTCCTTCTCCATATTCCTGAAACAATACAATCAATGCGTTTTACTTCCTTCTCTCTCTCTAATGATCTAAACAACAAGCTACCGACAAGTGTAATGTTATTATTACCTTTTTAATGTGTTCTAGTTCAGAATCATCTTCCAGGAAGAAACTCAGATACTTGACGGGTATGTCTACCTGGCAAACGTACAAGGGAGATTACCCCAAAAGGACAACCCAAACCGATAAGATCAACTATCAAAGAATCCACAACTGATATAGAATTGTTTCTTAGTCAATTAGATTTTGGCAAGTCCTTCAAAATTCTCATCTGAGTACACAGCTGAGGAGCACAATCTAAACAAAGTGAAGATTCATTCTCAACTTTCAACAGGATATTACCGCATAAGGAACACAGCTGAGAGTTGCCATTACCTAATACAGAATAAGGGAAGAGGAGGAAACAAAGAATTTGGTACCTCCAGATTTGCTCCAAGTTCTCTGTGCTTCTCGACGGAGTCTTGCCCACCACTAAACGCATATCTGTTTATCTGCATATTGAACCACATGAAGTTTAGATTCTGGAAGAAATTATCTGACTTCGTTACTAGGACCGGTATTTAATGTTCTGTAACGTGTCTCAGATGCCATTACACCAGCAAAATAAAAAACGAGTGGAAGGACTCGGGTGGCAACGATCTAGACAATGAATGCGTGTGAAAGCCTAAAAGGTTGATGTGGAAACCCAGAATGGTTTGTTATAATAGATGGGAAGAACAAAACAAAGTACAGAATTTACCTTGTTTTTAATGTCCTTCGCAGTATCAGTCACATAGATAGCAGAATTTGGATCACTAGCAGACATTTTTCCATTCTCTCCCTGTGTCAAGTGACCAAGGCATTTAGTTGTGGAAAGCAGGAAAGTGTAGTGTACATAAGAAAGTACTTGCCTGCAGAGCAGGAAAAAATGATGACTCAATCAGGGCGGGCTTGCTATAGCCTAACCGAGGTGCAACATCACGAGTCATTCTAAAATAAGGATCCTGAACAAAACCAAAAGCAAAGATTGGTTATAAATACAAACGTCATACATGGAAAACATAAAAGAGACTGATTGATATCCCAGGCTCGCAGTCGCAGACATTTTTATTCCATCGGGAAGTAATTTATCTCTAGAACAAAAAAAGCAAAACGGGTTAATATAAAAAGTAAGAAAACAGCACACCTGGTCAATAGCACAAGGAATCAAGCAGCGGAGATTGTCCTTTCCAGGGAACAAATGTGGGAATGAGCTAGGAAAGGATGGAACTGCCTGCAAATATATGGAAAAAATTAACCAATTTAGATATGGCAGTCTAATGCACATACCCACACCAACAGGAAAAGAGAAATACCTGCACAGGAGGGAAACTGAGTTTCCCGATATGATCTTCACCGGAAAAGCCAAAGATTCCCATAGCCTAGCAAAGAATGAGATATACAAACGAAAACCATAAACACAACGCAGCTATAATACATATCAGCCGCATTGTGCAATTCAAGGAGATAGATAGTAAAGTCACCTTATTAAGCGTAACGCACTTGGCAACCCTCACCATATTTTTATAGAAAGCACTACACACAAAGTTTTTGCATATCATCAGCCAAAGATACTGTGATATATAAATCAAAATCAAGACCTAGATAAGGTACAAAACGAAGGACATCACATGATCTAACAAATCTTCGCGAAAGCAAACAGTATATTGAGCTATCTTTCTGTAGACTATATATACTACCAAGAGCACTTCAAGCAATATTTTCTACTAAGCAAGAGCGGTCCTAGTTTTTTCCAGAGTTCTGAATGTGACTTACCCGCCAACATAGTCGAAGTCCGAGAAAATAAAGGTCTTTGTTACATCAAATCCACAAGCAATAATATCTTTCGCATTTTCTCTGGCAAGTCTTTGACTTTCCTCCACCGATAAGTTCTTCCACATGCATTTTTCATCATCCGTGAGCTGTATAACAAGGGGGACTTTGAAAGCTTCTTGCAAGTATCTGCAAGCCATTTCGAGTATAAAGGCCAAGCACAATCTACCAAAACCATAAACATGGTAAGACAATAATAGCTCCAGGATCTCACTTACTTGGTAAACATGAAAGGAATCAAATGCCCCAAATGCAAAGCTTCTGATGAAGGTCCTCTTCCAGTGTACAGATAGAACTTGTCTCCTTTCTCATAGGCATCCAAAATCTCATTGAAATCCCTATAAAACATCACAATTAAACAAGCAAGAAGAGAAATTTCTACATGCCCATCAACACAATTCATAAAAACAGTGAATCTCTAACCGGTGGGCGAAGAAGACACCACGGCGGAGGAATACGTGTGGTTGACGAGAAGTCAGTCTCTGAACACGATCAATCAGTGACTCATCAAGCCTTTGGCAGCCAAATTTGTCAATAAGCTTGTCGTAATCGATCTTCCCGCCGTCTTTGGCGGACACTTCCCATGGATTCACTACTTGCTCCGAAGATTCAGCCTCTCTCTCATCCTTCTTATCCACCTCCATCGCGACGGGAAAACAAAAATCTATAGAAAAAAAGGAAGTCAGATTCGGTGGATTCAAAAGCCTAATTAACAAACAAGCTGAAGAGAGCTGATGGGCATTGTCATCTCGAAGTACCTACGGGAGATTCCGGTGAAAAGACGGCCGTGGAGATGCGGCGGCGGTTTTGCGACTGGCGATAGTCTTCAGTAGGGCGAAGAACAAAAACGACTAAACGAGGTTTAAATCATATATTAATTACAATTCGGGAGTCAGAATCTTTTCTTTTTGTCAATTTTGCCGTCAAGTTTTAGATATAAAAAATACCCCTTTCTCTCTAGCACAAAATTATAATATTTATCGTAAATTACCCCTTTACTTTTGGAGATAACAAATAGCCCCCTTTTTAATTACTCCAACATAAGATTACTCCAACATAAGAGAAGAGATAAGTTGATAGTAAGCGGGATTTAATCTTCAAACTTTGTAGAAAGATGGGTAAACAAAAACATCCAAACTTAGCTAATCTAAGAAGGAAACTTAAAATCCAAAACAGACTGGAATCAATCCGATATCAAATATGATTTTAGATCATTCGAAATCAGAAAGTCCCCAGTTTGAATTGGAAGAACAAGAGAAATATAAACAAACTAAAATCCGGTTAAGCCGGAAGAGAGAAGATCAGAACCGCTTTCTCTCTCTGAAGGATGAGAGTGGGAGAAGGCCTATGCGTTTTTTTATGGAGTCCAATTGTGGTAGCTACATTTTTCAGTACTTGATATCTCCTCCGTTTATTGTGGTTATTTTTATTTATTGTTGCAATACTTGGACCAAAAAACATTGTTGATTCCAAATATATATATATTTTTTTTATATATGAATTCCAAATATAGTTGATTTTTACTAGTTAGTGTTACAAAGTTTTAATTTTCCTTTTTATTTGCTTAGTTGCTTGTTGAGGAAGCAAGTGAATAGATAGATATCGTATTTGTGGCCTAGCCAGGATTGAAAGAATCTCTATACTATTAAAAGAGAAGTACAAATGAAAATGGGTCGGGTTAAAATCAGAAAATTGACCCGAAATTCTGAAATCGGATCTTTGAATTTTTTTTGGAATATAAATTCGAATTAATAATGAAAAATCAAAATAAAATCAAATATTTATGGAAATCAAATAAAATCTTATTGTACTTATGGTAACTAATAATAAAAGCATATTCCGAACAATATTATACATTAATTACATATAATAAATTTGTTCATATATTTTTGGGACTAATTCCATAACAATCAACGTT